AATGGGAAGCAGGAATGTAATCCGCTAATGTAGTGTTCACTCAAATAATTGGAGAGCTATGACTTCTTGTTTTCTGGAATGTGAAATATTTATTACTATGAAACTTGGCTCCATATAAGGATTTTTTAACATCACATACCTGTAATTACTCAAGCAACAGATGTTAATTGAGCATCTGTAATGCACACTGCACTGTTCTGAGTGCCGTGGAGGCGCGAAGATTGACATGATTACTGTTTTCGAGGACGTCACAATGTGTGTGTGAAAACTTAGCTAAAATAGAGGACTGTCCATGATATACATCAAATGAGCGTTGTAAGGGAAAATGCTGCGTGGCTTTAGCAGAAGGAGCTCTCTTTCTGGACTGAGCTGGTCAGTGAAGGTTTCCTTAAGAAACAGTACCTGCTTCATAATTGGGAAATTAAATAAGATAATGTGTGGAAATACAAGTGCTCAGCAAATGTGATCATAAATAAGTAATAATGATAATCCATCAGTTAATTTCCATTCTGTCCCATCTTGAGAGGTAGTGTGGTAAATTAGAAAGAGTGCAGGGAGTGAGGAAACGTGAACTCTAGCCTGGCCAGATGACCTTGAGCAAGTTGGTAAACACTTCTGGGCTTCAGTTTCTTTTTCCATTAAATGGGAATGATTTTATCTGCCCAGTCTATTTCACAGGCTTATTGTGATCCAATGAAAGCATGTAAGTGCAAGAGTTTCATAAACCCTAGCAGGGCAATTGAAGCATTTCCTGTTGCCCTTCTCAGGCTAGAAATATTTCATTCACGCCACTGTCTCCCTGGCATCGTGAAAGAAATAATACGCCCATGAACATGTTTTAAATGATATCAGAAGAGAAACTGACTGCACAGGCAAAACTGGCTCGTATAATTGAGCATTTCTATGGCAGTTAAATTTTGCAAGTATTTTTTTTTTTTTGCTGTACGCGGGCCTCTCACTGTTGTGGCCTCTCCCGTTGCGGAGCACAGGCTCCGGACGCGCAGGCTCAGCGGCCATGGCTCACGGGCCCAGCCGCTCCGCGGCACGTGGGATCTTCCCAGACCGGGGTACGAACCCGCATCCCCTGCATCGGCAGGCGGACTCTCAACCACTGCGCCACCAGGGAAGCCCTACAAGTATTTTATTATCACTGTTATTAGTAAATACCCTAAGAGTTTTTTCAGACAGGTTATTATTACAACCCACATTTTACAGATAGAGATGAAGGGGCGTGGGAGAGGGAGCAACTTTCCTAAACTCACCAACAGGGCAAAAAAATAGGGCCCTTGATCCTGCAATCCTAACCCTCTGACTTGCACCAGCTACTGCTTTGTCAGGCTTCATCAGTTTATATATATGATCAAATACTCCCGGTGACGGGACTGTCCACATGTCTTCACTGTCTGGCCCGTGACTTGTTAGTGATGCAGATGGGCTGTGATTTGCAAGACTCTCGTGTTCAAAGGCAGCTTCTTCCCTTCCCTCCTCTACCACCTCTCTCTCAGCCTGTTTGTTTGTTTGTTTGTTTGTTTTGCGGTACGCGGGCCTCTCACTGCTGTGGCGTCTCCCGTTGCAGAGCACAGGCTCCGGACGCGCAGGCTCAGCGGCCATGGCTCACGGGCCCAGCTGCTCCGCGGCATGTGGGATCTTCCCCGACTGGGGCACGAACCCGCGTCCCCTGCATCGGCAGGCAGACTCTCAACCACTGCGCCACCAGGGAAGCCCAGCCTGTTTGTTTTTATTGAGCTAGATGGCTCTTCAGAAATAACTTTGGCTTTCCTTAAGTCTAGAAACAGAGATGCAGAAACTCAAATTTCTAAGAATTATGAAAACCTAGAAGGGTTAGGAAGGGTGTTCTGTTCTTTTGTTTTTATCATTTATTATGTTCTATAGAGTCACACATGGTGTAACCTTATAGTTTAACAATGAACATGTATAGGAAAGTAGCAAGGCTCTAGACTGTGGAATTCCCAATATTTCAAGTAATAAGTTCACCCTTTATTTCTCCCAAATAGGATCCCTAAAATAGGCTGCCTAGGGGTAGGGGAGTGGGAGGTGAGTGTGAAGGATTGGTGATTATGTAGCAATACTATCACTATAGAGGTAAGTACCAGCATAGTATCTCTCAGGTAGACTGCTGGGATAGCCCTACAGGGAGCTCCATCCAAAGGTCTGAAAAAAAGTAGCTAAAGATGTGGGAACATTTCTATAGATTTCCTATAGGTTTTTGATGAAACTCTTGAAGCTTTTCAGTAGTTCTTACCAGATTCTTATTAATTTGTTATGTCAAACTCAGAATAAGAAAATGAAGGGAGAAATAAATGAGGAAAAACAGCATGAATAATATAAGGGCATATTTTCTTTTGCTTTCTCAGGTTTTATATTGAAGCTGGTATGAGGCCATTTCATACTCCCACTGAAATTAAGTGCTAAATTTTTTTAAACCATTTTTTAATTGAAGGATTAACAGTGTTGATTTACAGTGTTGTGCTAATTTCTGCTGTGCAGCAGAGGGACCCAGTTATACACAGATATACATTCTTTTAAAAAAATATTCTTTTCCATTATGGTTTATCCCAGGAGATTGGATATAGTTCCCTGTGCTAAATTTTTAAACTTGCTGCCCACTCTGCATGTTTGTAGTCTCGTAGAAATTTCTTGCTGGAACAGAATACAGAGCTATCCAGTCCAGCTCCAGGGGATGAGGTGTCAACTACGTGTCATATGCCAATGTTGTCCACACTGAATTGTAATATGCCATTTACTGAGTATTTGTGCTTTGCATTTTTTTTCCAGGAAAGTCTTTAAAATATATTTATCTCAAACATCATTTCAGTTTTAGCATATTAGATTGTGATTGTCAATATGACTGAAGTTTTGTCTGTATCTTAATTTACTCAGATATGAATTTATCAAAAGCTTCAGAATCTGCTTTTATTAAAAGTATGTTCATTAGAATTTTATTTCTTAATGTACCTTAAACCTATTTTGTGGCCTCTCATGAAGATGAATAATTTTGTACAGCTCGAAATATAGTAACGATAAAAATAAAAATAGTATAAATCAAATCTTAAATCAGCAAGCCTCATCAGGGCAAAAATGTTCAAGGCTGTTTTTTTTTTCAAGCAGTATTTGGGCTATTTTTTTTTTAAGCAATATTCAATTACCCCAAATTTCATTTCAGATGAATTGGAATTTAACATATATTAAGGAGATAAAGTATAGTAGGTATGTTTATTACTAATTTCAGGGTATCTAGCTAACCTAAATTTTGGAAAATCACTTCATCCTTCTTTAATTGCAAATATTATAGTTAGGGAAGTTATTAAGATATCACACATATACATTTGAAGGGTAAATGTCCAAAGAGTTGTAAGATCTGAAATAATTTTATAGCTTTGCCATGAAGTCCATTTTATTTAAGCCAGGTAGAATTTATTACTCAAAATGACTGTAAATAATCTTTTTTTTTTGTAAATAATCTTTGACATGCCACAAAGCAGGATAATAAAAGTGACGGTCATGGTGTTTTATTAACATTAGTCTGCTTTTACTGATAGACAGTAAACATAAAACCTCTCCTTCTAAAGGGACAGTACATGTTCCTAGTAAGGACATGAATAGGGGTGGTGGTGTTGGATTCTGAGGGCAAAGACTTCCATTCCCTCCCACCTTGGTCCTTCCATCCTTATTTGGGCTCTGTGGTACATTTCCAGTGTCCTGATGTGGTGAGGGGCATGAACCTTTCCCTTCAACTATTCTCCGTCTGATAGAAGATAATTTCATGGTGAGGGAAGTTGTGATAGCAAAGGTTTTTAGGTGCCAGGTTTGAAATGAGAATCCATTGAGGACAGTATATGTCCACATACAGGTTGCAAAATTACCAGCTACCACATGACACCAGATCTGTTTGGCTTGCAAATTATGATCAAATTTCAGTATTAGAGACACAGAGGATGGTGTTTGGGTCTATTTTAATGGTATTATGTCTAGGTATCCAGAAATTCCTAAATGTTGCCCTATCAAACATCCCCACCCTCATTTCTTCACAGGGTTCCCAGGGTCTGTAGAGAAAAAAAAAGCAAAAAACAAAAAACCAGAATAGAAATCAAAGTACAACTTTGTAGTTGAATAAATAATAAGCAAATAATATGCTAAATGAGAACTCTGTGTGTGTATGTTGTGTGTTGGGGGAATATGGTAGAAGTATTGACCGAGAAGATGACTGATTTTGCTTCATGAAAGGGAAGATGAAGTTCAAGAGTACTGCAGACCTTTCCCAAAAGATAAAACCTGATCCACACTCAGGTGGGAAACCTGAGAAAGAGACAGGGGACCGTGCCTTTAAATGCCTATCAGTTCCCTCACCAGACATCACAGCCCGATTAATGCTGCAGGCAACTGGGCTGTGCTTGGAGAGAAGTTAGGACAGGCACCAGCTGAGGTGTGGGAAGAGGGTCTGAAGTTGCCCCTTCATCACCATTCATTTAGTCAACAAACATTTAATGAGTGCCTGCAAGGATCCTATTGTGCTGGGTGCTGAGGATGTGACACTGAACCAGACAGATGAGTTCCCTCTTCTATGGAACTGATTATATGCTGTTGGGGGTAGGGAGGAAGAGAGATAATAGACAAAAAACCAAAAACCAAACAAAACCCAAAATCCCCATATAAATAAACAAGAAAATATCAGTTAGGGAGAAGTGCTCTGATGAAGATAAAACATGATAATGTGACATCAGCGGCCAGCAGGCTGCCCAAGGGAGGTCAGGACAGGCCTCTTCTAGATGAGTGGCATTTCGGCTAAGACCTGATGTTCAGCAC